TGTACACATCCTCGAGCAAATTCCCGTTAAGGAATGCGGTCTTGACGTCCATGTAGGGAACAAGTCTACTTGATGACAGATACAGGGATTCAAGGAACAATATTTTCTCAATGTGTTTGTTTCAATTTTCTACTAGTGTTTCTGATTGATGACAGACACACGAAATTTGCTTCAATCTTCAAGTAGTAAAAACACAGAATACTGCACTAATAATTGTGACAGAAACAAAGGCTACTAGAATTAGGACTAAGTGTTTATCTTATTCTCTACTTCTCCCCTTGTTAGCTGTTTAAGAAGTGACATTGAATGTCGATCCAGTCCGGTTGTCTTAGTCTGTATTGATTCTCTAGTTTTGGGCAGGAAATCTGGTCATTGCCTTTGAGAAGCACTTAGCCACATATGGAACTCTGGATATCTGCATTAACAACGCTGGGATTGGAAATCCTGTACCATTCGACAAAGATGATAGTGATGGCTCTAAATCATGGAAACACACCATAGATGTGAACTTGGTTGCAGTGATTGAATGCACACACCTTGCAGTAAGTGACTAAGATATTAAAGTGGATTCCCGCTTTACATGTTTAGACACCGCTATGTCAATATTTCTATTCTCGATTCAGTTGATTACTTTGAGCATTTGTCAATCAAGGTGTGCAATTTCTTTTTTGATCACAAAATCAATGAACCCTTACCATTTTCGAAACAAAATTCATTCTCCACAAGAAATACTTGATTATTTTGGAAAAAAAAGCCTAAACATTATCTATCATCTTCAATTGCATTTTAGGCTTTGTCAGAGAGTTCACTGTTGGTTTTTTCTCCAATTGTTGTATCTTCGAAAATCCTAATTAATATTGCTGTCCATGTATTGGTAGATCGAAGCTATGAAATCAAAACAAAATCCTGGCGTGATCATAAACATGGGCTCTGCAGCAGGTCTTTATCCAATGACCTTTGATCCTATCTACTCTGCCTCCAAAGGTTTGCTTTTGGTTTCTTGTGCTATTTCTTTTATAAGTTAATTGAATCATGTGTACATTCTATATACATTTATAATTTAATGCAATATGTTATATGATGTGAATCCTATAACGAAAAGATCTCTATTTAACCAAGGTACAATCAATTGATGTCACCAAAACCCCTTAACAACTAGCGAATAAAACCGACGAGTAGTATCAATCCTTGAGGATCTCCTAAATCCAATCCAAACCTAGCTATGAAACCAACGGGTAGAAGATTCTATAAACACGTGTGGTAAACGTGCTTGATGAGTATAACGAGATAAGATTGATTCAATTACAAAGTCTGAAACTAGTAGAACGAAGAAGGATCATTTTCGGCTTCATTAGAAAACCAAAATAATCTCAAAAAGTTTGCCCGCCTTCTTGCATTCAAGACCTTAAATAGGTCCAATAAACCCTAAAATCCTAAATAATTCAAAATTATGTAGTTTTAAGCAAAGTCCAGAACAACTAAAACTGAACGGATCGGGTATGAATCTGATTCGGTCTGGTTTACATTTATGAGAAAAATCAATGAGAGTGGAACGGTCCGAGTTAGTACCAAATCGGTCTGAGATAAACTTCAGAGCAAACACGATGAAAATTGGCTCAGTCCGGTTTAGGAATATATCGGTCCGAATTAAACTTTTGAGCAAACGCGATGATTCGATGAAACTGGATCGGTCCAATTTTAATCTAAATCGTTCCGATTAAGTTTCTTAGCTAATAGACTTGACTTGTACGAGCATGTCCAATATTATCCGTCTATGCGCCCATGCTTGTTCCCACCTTGTCCATGCTTGAATTCCTGAGGGTTCATACACACGAATGCCGCTTGTAACCCTCTTGCCCTTGCTCGTGTAGGTGTCACTCGAACGTTTAGTTCATCATGTTCTTTAACCCTTTCCCATGCATATATGCTTAGGATGTCCTCATCATTATATTTATTCAGGTGGCGTTGTCTTATTCACCAGATCACTAGCGCCTTACAAACGTCAAGGTATTCGCATCAATGTGCTTTGCCCTGAGGTAAGAAATGCATCTGAAATTTTTCACAATGTTTAGTTACTCTCAACCTTTCCAAATGTTTCTTTCTCTAAAATCAGTGGGATTTGACAAGCATGGAAGGTTTGACCCTTTTGAATATCCACCACCTAGACGTATGGACTATAGAGAATATTGATCCTTAAAGATAGTAAATTTTGGTAATTATATCACAAGCTTGGGCATCATTACGTGTAATAGATGAGAACAACCACTTTTTCTTCTCTGGAAATTTCTTCTTGGCTTAAAAAGAACCTTTTGTTCCCGTGTACAACGCAGGCCGATAGATGCGCTGATTAGAAAAGTGGAGAGTATAAGAATGGAGATGAAGAGAAAAAGAAGGGGTAGACCTAGGTTTATATGGGAAGATGTCATTAGGAATGACTTGGAATCGTTGCAAATTCCGTAAGAGCTAATGCAAAACCGAAACGAGTTGAAACGAAGAATTCACGGCCGACCCTAAATAAACTTTGGAATAAGGCGATGTTGATGTTGATGTTAAATGCATCTGTTATTCAGCCCTTATAATACTATAGAATTAAAGTAAGTTCTTTTGCTGATGTTTGTTGTTTGAAGTTGTGGTTAATGCGCTTTCGTGATGCAGTTCACTGAGACAAATATGGGTGCAAAAGTACATCCTGTGATTATTCAGTCACTTGGTGGTTTCCTGCCTATGGACTTATTGATTAAAGGTTTGTGTTTAACATAATGTATTTTGAGGCCATCTGGTTTTGTTTCCACTATGAGGATTACTTATATGCCTCCATGCTACATTTCTTCCGATTTACTAGAAAGAACAGTAACCTGTGAATCACAGGCTGTGATATGTGTTGAAAGAAGTGGAGCATTAAAAATGGTGTTTCATTTTTTGCGGACTTTTTACCTTTGGTATTTTACGGGTAGTTAAATGGTATCATCTCACACAATCTATGTGCATGCCTTAATCCACATATGAGGGCAGTTTACTCATCCACACAATTAATTTCAGGCAGTCTTTCCATACAAGAATGATAAAATCAATTAATGCTCAATCTTTTGATTAGACTCATGGTTCAAACGTATTGTTGGTCCAGGTATTTTTGAGCTTATAACCGATGAGAGTAAAGCCGGTTCGTGCCTGTGGGTTACTAAACGCAGGGGTTTGGAATATTGGCCAACCCCCATGGAAGAAGCGAAGTACTTGGTGGGTTCAAGTTCCAGGAAGAGAGCTCCTTCCTTTAAAGTATCTTCAAGTTTTCAACTTCCCCAAAGTTCTGAGAAAATGTAAGTGAAATATCTGAAAGTCCGAGGCCAGAATATTAGTGGATATGTGCTGTCTTTCTTCTCAATTTTAGATTATATACTCATCGATTGCATGATTTTTCCTTCAGTATTGTGCACACCTTATCTCATCATTTCCGTGATGCTACCCGCATAGTTCGCACACCACTGGCATTACCTATTGGACGAGACCAAGTTCTCCTGAAAATCATCTATGCCGGTGTTAATGCTAGTGATGTAAGATTATGCTTACACATCGATTTGACAATCTTCCCTGTCAGCTTTACATTTTATCTCCCTTATATCGATACTTAAAGAATCTTTGAAGTTCTCTAAGAATTGGATTTATATTAACTGTTCATCTCGATGACCTACTTAAACCTCCAACTGTTCTTTACATCTTCTCTTCTTCCTAATGAATGCACAATTCACCTATTTCTCCTGCTATGGATATCAGCATGTGAACTTCTGGATTTTCCTTGTACTTCGAATTACAAGCAGGTAAACTTCAGTTCAGGACGTTATTTTAGTGGAAACAACAAAAACCAGGGTTCAAATCTCCCTTTTGATGCTGGATTTGAGGTATGATATTTTGTTCTTCAACTTTTGTGGTTTTCTTTGGTTTGCCATCAGGCCATATTTTACTGGTATCATATAAATATTTTTTTCTGCTGGTTCTATATTGCAGGGAGTTGGAATAATTGCTGCTGTGGGGGATTCTGTTCGTAACGTGGAAGTCGGGACTCCAGCTGCTGTCATGACTTTTGGAGCGTATGCTGAATACATGATAGTATGGCTCCTAAACCTTATGAATGCTACAGAACTGTATTGAGGTATCTTGAGGTTTCAATGATGGACAAGATCTTGTCTATTTGAGATTTAGGTCTCTTCAAGGCATGTGCTTCCTGTTCCAAGACCAGATCCAGAAGTCGTTGCCATGCTTACTTCAGGATTAACCGCATTAATTGGCCTTGAAAAGGTTATCATTATGATGCCGCTAGATTCATTACGCTTTCATATTTTGTTACCATTTGCATAATTGCATGCGAGAGGTACAGGGTTCGATCCCCTGCATCTCCACTCGTTTCTCTAACTTGGGACTAAGGCGATGTTGATGTTGATGATGTTACATTATTTCTTTTTCATTTCAGTCATCCATATACTTCGTTTTAAGATGCTTTAGTAATTAATCTGAGCAACAATTTGTTCTTTTTGTTGAATTTTCTGCCTGATATGCCCCTTTTTTTTGTTATAGTTGAAATGCCGTAATTATCTTTAAGTTGCTAGTGTTTTGCTTTTTCTGACAACTCTATCGTATCCACAGGCAGGACAAATGAGGTCTGGCGAAACCGTTCTTGTGACTGCTGCTGCAGGAGGCACAGGGCAGTTCGCTGTCCAGGTAAGAAAACATTGTTTGTAGTGCAAATGGTATGATGATTATGCATTGTATTAGATTTATATCCAATAACCGGTCATGTGGTAGCTGCAGCTTTATGCACAATTTTATGATCTCATTCTTGTCTGGGTTCTCCTGAGTTTAATTTATTCTCTTTCTGACAAATGGAAGTATTTTAATTCTGCTAAAAACGAGAATAGAAATGTGTTGTATATGCAGCTTGCAAAATTAGCAGGGAACAAGGTGGTTGCTACTTGCGGAGGATCAGACAAGGCCAAGCTTCTAAAAGAGATGGGGGTTGATCGGGTCATAAACTATAAATCTGAGGATATCAAGACGGTATGCCTCGAACATTTAATAGATGTAGCTAGGAAAAAAAGTTAAGTAGAAAGATTTAGCTTGAGTTATTTTCTTCTTATATTTGATAATTATGCACTTCAATCTGTTCTTACCAGGTCTTAAAAAAGGAGTTCCCAAAGGGTATCGATATCATATACGAATCTGTTGGCGGTAACATGTTTGATTTGTGTTTGAATGCTCTAGCTGTCCATGGACGACTCATTGTGATCGGGATGATTTCCCAGGTTCCTTATTATTTCACTCTGTATCTTTTATTTTATCTTATGAATTTCCATATGTCTTGTTGTAAGGATTCCATGTTGCCTTAACAACCTTATGCCCACGGGCAACCAGTTCTGTTTTATGCTGTAATCTGTTTTTTTTTTCAGTATCAAGGTGAACATGGATGGAAACCGGCGAATTACCCAGGCCTCTGTGAGAAAATTCTAGCAAAAAGTCAGACCGTGGTATGTTTTAGATGACTGAAACTATGTTCTTGTTTTTCTGTGTTTCATCATTTCTGTCATATGATCAGGCTTCACATGGATGTTTTGTGTATTACTTAATCATAAACTCTGAACCCTAAACCGTTTCGAGGTAAACAGTCTAAGCATTCTATTACTCGAAGATAAAATTGAAATTTTAGAATACATGATTTCTCTAAGATTTTATATGTTTTGACGACGAAATTTTGAATATCCTGAGTTTTATGAATCCTGTAATTCCAACTAGAAATACACCATGGGTTAATGATGGACGCTTGTTATTTTCATAGATTTTTTTTTTTTGTTTTGTTTTGACATTCAGATTAATGGTTTTCAGGCCGGTTTCTTCCTGGTGCAATATAGCCAGCTCTGGAAGCACACTCTGGACCGACTCTTCCACCTTTACTCTCTCGGAAAGCTTAAGGTAATATGCAAGAAAACCATTCGTCTCCCTCCTCGTTGATTATTATTCATTCTGAATGCTTTGTTAGAGTGAATTTTAGGTTTCTTTTACTTACCCTCGACATTGAGCAAGCGATTATGTTAAGGTTCAGAATCTGAAACTCAACTTTCCAGCACCAATCGAACCTTTATTCCTCACCGAAAACCTGAATACAACTTTGAATGATCTTGATTTACGGGAGGATCCCAACTCTCATTCCCCAAACAAACCCTAACCCTTTCTCAAACTTCTGCGTTCTCCTTTCTCCTCTATCTAATCTGTATTTATAACTATTCATTACCGCAACTACTAATTAACTAATACTAACAGGCCCATACTAACTATAGTCCAGCTTCAATGAATCTACATAACCCATACATCTATCAGATTACTCTATTCCTGAACTCTGATTTTGCATGTTTGAATTATACAGGTATAAGCAGACGCTTGCTTATGCAAATGTACCAAAGCCGTTGTTTTTGTTCATAAATATTGTTCCCACTAAATCATCTGCTGCGTCATCTGTCTTATAGGTTGCAATAGACCCGAAAAGGTTTATGGGTCTGGATGCTGTTGCTGATGCGGTTGAGCATCTGCATTCGGGTAAAAGCACTGGGAAGGTTAGACCATTACTTGCATCGTTGCATTAGCATAGGGTTTATCTATTTAGGGGAAGGGATGGGCGGGTACCTGAATTTTCCGGCACACCTGCCTTGGCCTCAACCCCTCAGGTTCCTCGATCAGGGTATTCGGTCTCGGTCTTGTGGAAGTTGGGTACCCAGGGGATAAGGTAGGGCTCGGGTATCCGGCTGACAGGGGGCGAGATCATGACAGGGTGAGGAAGAAAAGAGGAGGTGTTATTGAGACCTGAGAGGACGAGAGATGTATATGGGAGGGCGAGGGTGAGGCAAGGCGAGGCGAGGTGAAATCTCTCCTGGCGAGAGCCACGAAACCCTAATGAAATCCCTGAACCAAATTTAGAAATTTCAAAGCCATGTGATAAAAAAACTAACGAAACCTTTAGCCGTTTGTCGCCTTCCTCTTGCGGCTTGGGGTTTCATCGCCGGCTCGCCCTCTCTCCCCCTTTCTCGAGGTTACTCACGGGTTCAGGTGATCCCCAGACGGAAGCCGAACCCAAATTTTGTATACCCATGGGACCGATACCCACGCCCAGCCGTACATCTAGTTGATCAATAGAAAGAAAATCCTTACATTGAACAAACAGAAAATGATATGGACAAGATATATAAAAACCCAATGGATGGAATCTATCTACTGAGATCCAATGGATGGAACCTATCTATTGACAAAGTCCTTTCATA